GAGATCGTCGCGGGAGCGACGGGCCTTCTCAAGCGTAGGATGTTTCGGTCTCGATGGCGGATCGCGCACCTCGCGCTGAGTATAGTCAGATATCGGCGGCCGGCCGCTTGAGCACGCGCGGCCGCGGACACGCGCTCGCCACCTCTCGCCTGTGCCCCGGCTCACTCAAGAGTCGGGCGGGGGGGGGGGGGGGCGAAGCGTGAGTCCGCCGCCAATATGCAGCAGATACAGCAGCTACTATGCGCAAAAAAGGCAGCAACAGGCGGGGCCGCAAGGAAGGCGGACCAGCAAGCAAGTCGCCTTGCAAGCACATTACTGTGCATAGGATTACTCCCCAGGCGGCCGCAGACCAGGATGTCTGGCCAGCCCGATGAGGAGCATGACGCTTTAAGTCACGCTTGAAGGATTGCGTGCCCCCCATAACCAGCACGAGCATATCTCTGTCAATGCCCCCCCTTGCGTGACCATCTGCGGTCGCGTTGCGAGTGTCACACAACTGACTGCCATGCGCGATTCCTCGCCCCGTCATCTGTCGTGTCCAACTGATGCGCCCTGAAAGGGCACGCTCAGTCGGCTTCTTCGAGTCTTTGCTTGGCAAGGATTTGAAACCATATTCAGCGCCTATGGTCAAGGTGACCTTGATGCTCAGGCCGCCCATCCCAAGTATGTCTTTCAACTGAGTGGGGGCTAACGGGCCTGCGTGGAGCTCGCGCAGAGTCGCGATCGTGGGATAGACGTCCTCCAGGTTGTGGGCTGCCGCAAGTGTCTCTGTTGAATAGCTTGAGCGGGCCTGCGGGCGGTGAGACTTGCAATGCGCGCCGATCAAGTGGACGACAGGCTTGCCGCTTGGCGTGGTTCCACGCCGTAGCAGGTTTGCCCCGCGAATGCCATAGCCTCTGACCTCGTCATCGGCATCTCCACTCAGGGGTCGATAGCCGGAGCCGCTGTGCAGGTCAACTTCGCCCGTTGGAGTCATCGATTCATTGGCGATCTTCTTAGGGCACGCCTGCAACTTCCTGGTGGTCGTGTTTAGTCGTCGAACTTGCAGATTGGCCGGTTCTTGGACACGTTGTAGAGAGACCACATATACCACCAACCACACTTGAATGATTAATGCGTAAGCCAATGTGCCCCTGAGACTGACGAACATGTATGCAAACATCTTGGATGCCTTGGCGCCAGCGCGGGTGAGTTCATGATGTGGTATAGGACGGACCTGTCTGATGTATTCATATTGGTCCAATGACATTGCCGCCCCCCTCCTTTGTGCACCTCGCATCGCAATTGGTATATGTGTATGTTTGCTGAGTTTGCACTTGCCAGAAGTGTCCTCGACGCGCTTGACGCACTTGTCCTGGGGGCCTTCTGACCAGACCCGGGTCAGCAGGAAACCAAAGACTGCAATGCAGGAAAATAAAACTGCAACGCAAATCTTCGCGAACCCGGGTCAGCCAATATGCGCGGCCGCCTCGCGGCCGCGAGCGGCTCGCTAACCTGGGTCAGCCAAAGGGGGTCTTCGCAGGATCCCGCAGGATCCGGCGCCCTGGCTGACCCCCGCTTGCACTGGCCCCATCTTTGAGGCCCCGATTGGCAATGGTGTCCTCAGTGCCGGCCATATTGATATCATCAACATGTTTGGCTGTGAGCAGGCTACTGCTTGTCTCGACGTCCTCGTCGTGGGACGTGGGTCTGAGGCCAAAGCCTCTCGTGGTCCTTCTGAGCTTCAGTGAGAAAGCGCTGGGCGCATCCTTGGTGCTGGTGCCTGGCTTGAGGCGCCGCAGGCAGTGCGTCGACTCGTCGTAGTGCTCGAATCCTGGGAGGGATCGAAGCACCGTAGCCGAACCAAGCGGCATTGTTCTTTCTCGCCAGTTGTCTCGCAAGTTCCTGGTAGGTTAACCCTTCCAGGAAATCCATGTTGATGTCAAGGGAAGCAATGGTCCATTGCTTCCTGCACGATGCCGCGCTTGCGAATAATCTCTGGCTTGGCCGCCGCGCTGTCCCTGAGAGGGTTTCCGCGTCAAAGGCTCCGAGGTCCATGGAAACCCCGAAGCACCGGTAGTAATCTGATGGCACGTTCCATCTCGCCCGTTTCGTTCTTGACGAACTTCCATGTATATAACTACGTGCCTCGAAGTCATGATGTTGACGCTGTAGATACATCTTGCATCTTGAAACACTTGTTGACAAAGCATGTCTCGAGTTCAGCACATCGGGACTTTGATACTTTTTCGAAGTTAGCCTGGGCGTCGGCCTCCGCGAGGACGTCGTCTTCCTTGACAGCGGCACCTCGTTTTGCAGCGGCGGTGACATATACTCGCATGGTGGTTACACGGTCGGCATCAAATATCCTGCGCTGCTGTTCGAATAGGACTACCTTTGACATCTCTGCCGCGAAACAGAGTTCTACATATTGACCGCGTTCGTCCGAGTCCAATCCGTAACTGTGGTCTTCGACCGCGGGGCATAGTGGGACACATACGTCTCCTTGATGTCGGAGTCCCGTGAATATCCCCACTTCGGCAGGTGCCCCCGCTGTTCTTCAGCAACAGTGACCGGCGCATTGTGGTCAGCAGTGATATGTGTGGGTACAGCGTGCAGGTCATCGAATGGAGTTGTCTCCAGTAGTTCCCTTTCGCCCTGGAGTTCCGTGCACCGCACTTCCGTGATATGTGCCTCCAGGTCCGCTTCTGATTCCTCGTATACCGTAGGAAGCCGCCAATCCTCCTGTGGTGGTTCGGCTTCTGGGGCTTTTCTTGCGTGTTCGACTTGTGCCGGCATGTCCGCCAGTTCCTCAAACTGCGTTACTTCGTGGTCAAAGCCCGCTTGAGGTTTAGTGGACATTAGGCACTGGATGATTCTCACATGTGCTGATCCAGTTATATCATGAATACGCAGGGCAGTGCCTTCTGCTTCATAGCAATGGAACCCTGGGCTTACATCGTTGTCATAATGGACCAATGTGCAGCTGTCAGCGCAAGTCACCGGAGGAAGCTCATGGATGCTCTTGGCCAACCTAACAGAGATTACGCTCTCGATGCGGAAGAAGTTTCTGATTAGGTATTGTAGTGCCAGATGTACTTTGGGACGTAATCGGCTTGCGCTGGCCATCTGAAGCGCCCCCATTTCGGTCGGGGCATAGCCAAATGTCATAGCAGGTCCCCCCGCAGGTAGACTGGCACCAAATGCCAACGCTGTCCGTAACGCAGCGCTGTCGGAGCAAATTTCTCTGGCGATCAAAGCTTCGGTGTAAAGTGAATGTCGTGCATCGCCATATTGGACTTGTTCATCGCGCGCGGCTTTCCACTCGAATGATGACTTGACTCCTGTCGCGATCAGTTCGTGCAACTGGGAACGGGCCAGTCCAGCCTACCCAGTCGTCCTTCGTAGTTGTGGGACGATGGTAGTCAACCAATCTCCCTCGTCGAAATAATGCTGACCGGTGATAGTTGTCTAAATACGAAATGCACGATCGGACTTGGCTACTGCAGTAGCCTGTGTGATAGCTTCGGTGCATGCCCTGCGCATCGCCTGTTCGCCAAAGTGGTCAGACGTTTCTGTTGGCTGTTCATGATCCAGAGCAGGCAGGTTAGGTTGCATGGCCGGTTGCCATCCAAACAAAGCATTATATGGAGACGCTTCATTGTAGAAGGTGAACGCATTGGCGGCAAACAGGGCTTCGTGCAGTAGTCGTGTGAACACAATAGGTATGTCTAACCCTTCGCATTCTGTTTCCATAACGTGAAGTAGTTAACGTAATGCGCCATGTCTGGCTTCGGCTGTCGTAGCGCTTTGTCCATGCGCGCGTATCCTCAACTCAGCGCCCTTTGCCTTAAGGACTGCCTTTGCAGTGTCGTTGTTAAGGGCGCCCTCCCCATCGGAGTAGAGTACCTTGGCACGTCCGACTTGCATCCAGCACTGATGATACGCATCTAAGATACTGGTCATTGTCTTCTCTGGTATCTCCATTTCAGTAGCATATCGAATACAACGGTCAACGATGTGCAGTATACGGTGTTCCTGCTGGTAGACCATAAGGTCGCATTCGACTTCTCATTGAACTTGCCAGGAAGTGCAGTGGATGGCATGGCGGTGTGCCCTGGCTTGTCCCAAGCCCTGCGCTCCCCGACGTGTGTCGCAGACGCTTTTGATCAGGTTGAGTCTGACGCTGTCCAGACCTGCCATGGTTAATATGAGTCTCATCTCAGGCTCTTTAGCATGGAACCATCGCAAGTGTAGCTTTCGCAACTCGCGTGCTACCACGCTTGGGTCGAGGCTTCGTAATTTTTGTTGGCAGATTTGCACATCGAACCTTGACCAGTCTGGGAGTCGTGGGCGTGCAGCAGGGTTACCCGCAGGTGGCGGTGGAAGTGGATCTCCTCCCTGCCGTCGGCCACGTCTGGCTCTGATCTGCGGCAGTCGGCGGCGGCCTGTAACGCTACCTGACTCCTGCCACCGCAGGAGCCCGCCGATGGCCGGGCCCAGCACCGCGTGCAGCAGGGCGGGCTGCGGCATGTGCTCCATCTCGCTCACGAACAGCACCGCTGTGGTGCTGTTCCTGGCGGGCAACCGGGCCTTGACGTCGGCGAGGTACGCCTCGGGGCTGAGCCTCTGAGGGTCGACGATAGGGGGGCCAGCTCAGGGGGGGGCATCGAGCATGAATCGCCGATGCATTGCCGATAGATCAGTGATAGGCTCCCGTTAGTGACTCCGCACGCTCCTGGGCGGAGTGGGCTATCGGGCCCCATCGGTGAACGATGGGCGATTAGGAATCGATGCGTGTCCCCCTGGGCATATTTCCCTGTAGCGTTGCACCTGCCTCTTCATGGGCTTAACGACTCCTGCTGTCCCTCGGCTCGCGCTGGAGCGTTCGCGATCTGCTCTGGAAATCCCTGGAGATCCCTGAATTTACCTCGGTGTATCTGGATTTACCTGGCTTGATCCCCACAAGTCGATGGGAGAAAAATAATTAAGCCTTCAGGGAACGCCCCTCGGGCCTGAGCCTCCCGCGGAAGTTGTCGCAGCCCCCGGCGAGCAGGAAGGGCGCGGCCTCGTCTGGCCAGCAGGGGGCCTCCGGGAACTGCATCGCGCAGCCTCCGTTGATGATAACGGCGGGTGGCGTCGCCGCGCCAGCTTTCTTCCACAGGTGCGGGAGGGCCACCTGGCCGCCCCTGGAACCCACGACCAGGCAATCGCTCTCCTCCTCTGCAGTGCGCTCAAGGGGGTGGGGGTGGGTGGCGGGGGAGGCGGCCTTCTGAGAGGGTGGGCGAGCCTCTTAAAAGCCAGAGGCCTCTCTAGAGGCCCGGGCCAAGCTTCTGAGAAGACTTCTTGGAAGCCCCCCCCGGGCCCCTCTGAGAGCGCCCCTGCCATCCAGAAGGGCCCCCCCGGCCGTCTCAGAAAGCCAACCCCCAACCCCCCATCGCGTCAACCCCTCGCGAGCGCCGCCGATCTCCAGCAGCCCACGGGCCAGAAGAGTCTTTCCTCTGAGAATCGGGGTAAGATGCCAAAGGAATTAAGGTCTCATGTTGACTATGTTCAGTGGAAGAGGATACTGGATGAGACATCGATGAAACTGTAGGTTATCCGTTACACAACTGTACTCAAGTATAGGAAGCGAGGAGTCCGGCCAGGGACGGACGACGACTCGGCCGCCCACGCGCCCCCCGGCGCGCTCCTTTTCTCACTCGAGCAGTAGATGCAGCTTCGGTATACAATGATACCAATGTCAAGGTATGGCAAGGCAGGCAGCAGGAGAGGCAAGTGTATAATGAAGCGGAGAGGAGCATATTTACTCCCCCCGCGGCGGGTCTCGTAGAGTCCAACCAGCCACAGCCCGCCCGGCCTGTGCATATTTACAGCCACCGGAGCGAACCCCAAAATCATTTTACCGCTCAACGGTGGTCGCCAGGGGGCTGAGGGCCGGAGAAAACCCGACGAATCCCACCAATGGTTAAATAAAGCCTCTCCGCCGATACGACTGGGTCGTTCGGTCGGTGCCGTAGCGACTTGGTCGCGCGGCTCGCGCATGCTCTCACTTGTTGTACTAGAGGAACCGCGACTGCGGAGGCGGAGATGGAGGTCTCGGAGTCGAAGACGATGAGCCTCCTGTTTGTCCAGCTGTCCAATGAGGCGGAGCTGGCTTGCCTCCCTTGCCACGGCCAGCATAGGGAGCTGACCTGGTGTTCTTGTTATTGTCCTTGCTCTTGGCGTACCCCTTGCCTTTTTCTCTCTGGAAGTAATAATCGTAGTCGTTGGGGGACGCAAAGTGCCACGCCCGACTCTCGTTCTCTCTGCGAGTCATCCAGTGCATGACGTCACGGTGGACCCAGTATCCCTGCAACCCATCCGCCGTGTACTTCGGGTAGTGGACCGCGGGGTTGTAGTCGCCAGCAGCGCGTCCGGCATCCATGGCCCCGGCGCGCGCGCGCGGACATTGACCAATCCCATGCGTCCCCGTCAGAAGGACGCCTCGAGAACTCCTCTCCCGCCGCGACGGTTTGACCGCCGGCGGGGCGAGGAGACTCAGTAATGTCGTCGTTGGCCCGATCGTCTTGGACGTCGGGCCTTCTAGGCGGAGGAGGCGGAGCTGGGCGAACAACACGGCTTGGCCTTGCTTTCGCAACGGGGGCCCCTTCTGAACCGGCTGGGCCGTCGGAGGGCTCGTCGGCGCCTCCTTCCTCACGAAGACGTACTTCATGCTGCAATTTAGCGCATCTTGCAATGCCCCTCGCGGCGGTAGCAACATAGGCACCCTACTTGCCACAGGCAGTGCGAAAAGGGCCTTCGTCGCTGTATTGGCTTTCAGTTGATTCCACGAATGGGCATAAGAAGAAGACAGCACCTTGCAACTTCATGCCCTGGCGACGGATCTCTGCACGACTCAGTTTTCCCAAGTCTCCGGCCCACGCCTCAACGAAGTCGTCCGTTTCGACAGCCGCGCGGATACAGCAATCAAGCGCGTATGCGCCAGCGCGGCGCTCATCATTGGCATGCCCTGCGGCTGTGTCGCGGGTGAGTAGCCCATGCGTAGGGTGTGCACTGTAATACCCCACATCAATAAAACAACTGATGAGATCACGGGCGATCACAATCACGCGCATGATACGAAGACCCAATGGACTTTCGCGCGTCGTCAGGGACAACATGTGTAAATTCTCCCGTTAGGCGCAAACTATTGGTCGCGCTCGTGTCCGGGTCATAGCACGTGTGCTCCATGACATATTGCGCAACCACATCGATGGCTTGTTTCTTCGTCACTGTGACGCTCAATGAGCCATCAACACGGCGAGGGTACACCCGTCCATCGGGCAGATCAAGATCGATCCTCCCGCCTAGCATCTGCTGGGTCTGGGACCCGCAGACAGCGGTGAAATCGAGGGGAATCGGTTGGAGTCCCTCGTTACCTGTCGTCTCGGTTTGGCCGGCGACAGGTTTCACAAAACTGAGAGGATGATCAGAACAGATTTTGTTGCGTCTGGATACAGACTTGGATTCACGAGCGGGGCGAGCAACAGACCTATCCGCCCAGGCAACCCGTGGACGTCCACGAGGGCTGGGCCCTGTGGCGTTCACACCGGAGTCCTGTGTAGCGGGCAGCCATGGTGCGGCTCCTGTCTTTGCATCTCGCAATGTCTGAAGAGTCGGCACAAAAGTATCTGTCCTCTGCATGCTGCGCTCCCATTCATCCCAACCTTCGTCGGGTGAAATATACGAGTCAGGTGCTTCTGGCCAGTCGAAAGCAGCCAGAGCGGGACAAGAAAAGGGGCGCGCATACTGGTCGATATCCGTGGCCCAGAGCAGGGGCCACCACTCAGCGATCGTTGGTGCCTTAACCCCGTGTCTAACAGCCAAGTGTGCGATCCATTCTATAAGTCGCCTCTTGAGGGGTTCAAGGTACTGAAAGAAAGGTCCGCAAACCGCCGGCGGCCGGGCCGCGACGGGTTCAGGGAACCAGGCAGGAACGCTGCCAGGGCGGCTGTTGCCAAAGGTTTGGCCTGAAGCAGCCATCGTAATGTACCCACCTTCTGCCCATTTACGCTCCTGCTTCGAATTGTTGTCGATGTTCGTCATGACATCCGCTGACGCTCTACGCTGCCGTTCTATTCTTTCTCTAACATAGCGATCATGCGTCCAAGAAAATGCGTCATGATCGGGAACGGCCAGCCTAAAGCCATTTCTCCACAGTGAGTCCCCAATGATTCTGTGCTTAAGTAACTGGAGCAAACAATTGTGCGCGTCCATATACTTGCACCTCACTGGGCTACTGCAAGAGGGGCAACGGCCGAAGCCAGTCCGCACGCAGTGCAGTCCAGCACAGAGGAACCGACCGTCGTCATCCGAGGGAACAGACCGAATGAATGCGTCTGCCCTGTCAGACCAGTGTCTGAAATCTGGCCGCAATGTCGCAGTCTCGTCAGCGTGAATCCAACCAAGCATTGAACTGTCATCAAAATTTACCTCGTACGAGGTCCACTCCTGACTAAAGACAAGGGACCAAGAAGTCAACTTTCTGGTCACATCTGGCCAATCGTCAACTGTGGCAAGAGTGGCAGCTTTGTCGATGTCGGTGAACCTTGGCACTTCATGGGACACAAGGGCCCCGTCGCGGCAGACCCGGTACGAAAACCGAGTAAGCACGCGGCCATTGAAAACAAGAACTAGTGGCCAGGAATCTCTGTGTGTTGGAAGCTGGTCCCACAGACGGACTGTGTCCGCTGCGGGCCATGCCCCAATCGTAGGAGGCTCTCCCGCCTTTGGGTCTTGGCCCATGGCGCGGTGCTCTTTCGCAGAGCAGGGTTTCCATCCCTACGCTGGCTTAGCCAGGAGGGAGAATGATCTGGGCTTTGCATGATCGGATCCCGCCTGGCCAGGAGAAGCCTCAACAATCCATGGTCCGCCTCGAGACAAAGCCCTGATGTGCTCTTAGGGAACTGGATTTCTCCGACCATGGATCCCATCAGCGCCTCCATGTCCGCAACATGGAGGAGGGGCCCATGACGCCTGGCTAGGCCAGGCTCATCAGGCGCATACATCCTCTCAATGGAAGCAACAAACGTGGAATGTCCCTGACACGCTCGATAGAAAGCGGGGATGGGACATGTAGCCCGCTCTCCCCCAAGAAGGGGCCATGCCTTGAAGTCATGCCACTGCTGATGAACACTGGTTTCGTTGATGGCTGCAATGCGGCTAGGCCGTGTGCAGCAAGTGCTACTGTTTGGTGCTTATACCCATCTTCATGCATCTTATCCACTAGGTCTCCACAATAGACCCAGCCTCCCGACCTCGCATAATCGGAACAGTGTCTCGCGAGATACGTAGCAAAATCTCAAATGCGCTTCGCAAACACATATACTCGACCACTGTGGCGTCGCCAAAAATCAGAGCCTAGGGCAGTCGGATTTTCTTCATCAGAGACGCCTACAGCCAACGGAGTCAGGACCCTAAAGGCCCGAGGATCAAATCCGCTGGAAACATCGTCAGAGTAGAATTCTGCACGGAGGCAATCTCGCACCTTCTCAAAACTATCTATGTCCACGGAAAGATCTCCCAACACTGCAAATATGGGATCCACGACGAGCTCCGCTATACGTTTGAGCGTAGCAAACATTTTATCACGAAGGCCCTCGACATCAGAGGGTACAGGACCAGTGGTATGAGCCTCTCGAACTCGCCGCTTCAAATGAACGGGCGTGTTCTCAATGCATCGAGTGCGGTCATCCAGTGAAAGATAAAGCTCCTTGCCCCTGAATTGGTCAGCATGGCCGACGGTGACCTGATGCTCGCCCGCCCGGGGCGAATCTTCCGTCGGGCTACAGGGGAAGGCGGCAGTTTCGCTCTGCAGAAGAAGTCGGTCGCCGCTGGGCCAGATCGATAATGGTCCTCCTCGAGGAAGATAAGGTCAGGGTCCCCTTGATACGGAAACTCATGGAGGTAAGCAAGATCTGGGCTGGCCTCAAGAGACCCCGGCGTGTCTGGGACACCCAGGGTTCTGTCCGCCGGGGAAGGCTCCGCCGCGCCATGTCCGCTCGGAGCGACGACCGGTGGGGTTGCCTTCGCAGTGGGCGCAGCCTCGTCGTCGGAAGAGCTGTGGACTTCTTTGGTATGGGGACGATTCGGCAACCTCATATGGCGCAGCATGCGTTGCATCAACAGCGCCCGAGTCAACCTGCATCGGGCCCCCCTGAGTCGGCGTGTTCTCCGCTCTGGCTGGGCCAGGCGGAGACTTAGGTGCACCTACCGCCACGGCTGGGCCGGACGGTGGCGCAGGGGGAGCAGGCAGCCTGTTTCAACCTACGATCTAGTCGCCCTCAGTGCGAGGCTGGGAACGCTCGCTCTCGGCGGCAATCTCAGGGGTAGGAACGAAATCTGATTTCGTGTTCTTGATATAGTCTACAACAGTGCCTGCAAACTTCTTCCACGGGTCCGAGTACTCTCCTGGCTGATGTTTCCTCTTTTTCTGTGCAATCTGGTATACCCTCATTGCGGCTTCAATTTGCGCATCCATTTCCTGCAAATTATCAGGATCCTCCTTGATCGCTGGGTCCGCGGAAATTGCACGACGCCGCTCGTGGAAGAAATTGCGCTCATTCTTGAGCGCATTGCGGGCTCGCTTTCCGGCAAAGTGGCAATGTGAAGCTTCTTTGATGGTCCGTGCAATATTGGACGCAGCGCCATCCCCTTCTGGGGCCGGAGATTCCTCTGACGAGGGATCTCCGTCCGTCGCATTCGGAAGAGGGGCTGCAAGAGTGTCCAGCCTTTCATTGCCTCCGGGGCGATCGGAGCCCACATCTCAACAGTCGCAGCCTTTGCCGCGGGGCCGTCGGCCTGCGCAGCCGGGTTCACCCCAGCACCGCCTTGGGCAGACTGGGGAGACCCTGGAAAAACTTTAAACTGCGACTGCTGAGGTGGCGCCTTGGGCGCAGCGCCAGCTTGCTGACGCCTGTAGTCAGTGCATGGTTGACGCTGAACGCCCCACCTCGAAGCTCGGGGGGCAGGCTGAGGCGAACGGAGACGTGGTGCCCAAGTGGGCATACCAGGGGGCACAGGCCAAGCCTGGGGCTTGCCTTCCGATGTTCCTGCGCCCGCCGGCTTGGCCGGTGGCTGCACAACCGCAGGTGCAGCATCAGCGGCCCTGGCCGGCGATCTCTCCTCAGTGACTGCGGTTCCGGGCGATCGAACTGAAGGATTGTCGGCTCCAGCATCGGCGCGAGCCGTCTTGGCCGGTGGAGGCTTCGCCGCTCGCGCAACACTTCGCGGGTCGAATGGTGGCGGAGGCTTCTTCGGCACATCGTCCGACGGCCCAACTGGAGACGGATCCTTCTTCGGCGCAACGTTCGCCGGCTTGGCCGGTGGCGGCCCCATCTTTGCATCAGATGGTGGCGGAAGCTTCTTCGGCACATCGTCCGCTGGCCTAACTGATGACGGCGCCCCCATCGGCGGAGGCGGAGGCACGGCCACATTCGCAGCTGCGCTAGTCGCGGGAGGAGGAGGGGCCACTTCAGCCACGGCTGTGCCGGGCGGAGAATGGGGCGCCCCCTCCGCCTGCGACGCAGGCCGTCCCAATGGTGGAGAATTCTCGGTTGCAAGCGAAAATGAAGCGTCGGGAGGCTTGGCCGCCGGCGCCTGGGCATGAACACCCGTTGGTGTTTTGGCTTTGGCCTTGTCTTCATTGTCTTTATTAGCCCGAACAAGCGCCTTGGACGTGTCCGAGGCCTCATCTTTACGCAATGGGTTAATCCTAGTGAGTCTAACTCCTTTGTCTTGGAGCCATGGCCAAATGTCATCGAACTCTCGGCGATAATGCCGGTAAGGACTTCGCTCCTTCTGCCAAACGATGGGCCCCAAGTTTGGGACCCACTGTCTCTGTGCCTCTCGGACTTGGTCCGAGGCATCCACTCTCTCCTTGTCGCAACGACGCTCAAGCCCGAAGTCTTGCCTCAGGGGCCACTTCATTTGCCTGGCGACATGTTGCAAGAAAGTGTAAGCCTGAGTGACATGAAGTGCCGCTGGCGTCCAATGGCATAACCGAGGCTCACTGAACACCATCTCGGATGGGCCACTACAAAACTGATCGCGCGCGCCCTTGATGCGCACAGGCTTTGCATAGAAAATAGCCTCCGCAGTTACCCAGATGCCATAGTATGTGTAGAGGGGTCATTAATAACAGAACATATAGCATGTGTATAAGGATTATTAATACAAGGGGAAGAATACATACCCACATGTCCCTTTTTGATGCCCCCTCCGTAGCGGGGATTCGATGGGAGCAACTGATAGCCCTCCAATATCGATTGGAGGGCAGTCACAGATGCACCGTGAGACTGTCTGCTCCATCCTGAGGGCGGGTCTTGGACCTTCTCAAGCTTGTTCGCCGTTACAAAGAAGGGCACTGTGAGCTGCGTACAGTGCATGTTCCCCGCCCCGTGGGTCTTCGTCGACAATTTCGCCCAATCCAAGCGATCAGCAACGGTGGCCTCTGGATCTTCACATGACCGATCGGCCTTAATCACAAAGAAACGTGCCCAATTGGGAACCATATAAGAAGGCTCCAAGACAGGGGTCTTCGCGGACGTTTGTAGCATCTGGCTACCCAACCAAGCTTCTCCAGGCGCGTGAATCTGGATGGTCTTGAACTGTTTGCTGCGGGTCGGATTTTCCCCTTCGCCACTTTTTCAACGCGGCCCTCCTCCCCTGGGCAACAGTTCCCAGGCAGCATAGGTCTGTAGAGCTCACCACTCTCCGCAGTGAACGGTCGGAGGACATTTAAATATGCTGGATCCGTGCTCGATGCATCACTATCGGGCAACATCTTAACGTCCTGATACAGCTGGTGCACAGGCCAATCGACTTCCCAATCATCATCATTGTCGGGGTTGCCCCCAGTTTTGAGGCGCTTGGGGAATTTCTTTCCGCCGCTGAGCGTGGCTCTGACGCCGATAGGACATTTCGCGCGGAGGGCTTCCTCCGCCGCTTCACCGGGCGTCTTGGCGCCCTGTACACACGCTACAGGAGCGAGTACGGGGCCACGGGGCGGCTGGGCCGCCCGCGCCGCAGCATTATTACCCGAGGCGGCTGGGCCGCTGGGTTCGGCAACAGACATTACCTTCGACAGCTCCTCTACCGCAGGGCGCATATGTTGATCATTTTGCACTCCTTCCGTAGGCAATCGGAGGCGTTTCCCCTCTGGGTGCATTCCCGGACAAAAGGGGAGACACCGTGGTAAGAAATATTGATGATCTTGCCACGGATCAAATTCTGCGCGCACATTCCCTCGCTTGAGAAAATCAATGAACTTGTCGGACAACTTGGGGTGAATCGCCCCGCCCCCTGTCCCGTCTTGAACGGCAGGGAGCATAATGGGGCTCAAAGGTGTCCGAAACGGACGAGTGTCGAACACAGATTTGGGCACGTCGTTCTCAGTGGGGCTACAGTCTTGCCAATGCATGACAAGCTCTTTAATGGTAGCCTCCTCTGCCGTGTGCCCGTCGGCTCTCTTCTTCGTCGATGGATTGCCCCCCTGAACGGCTGGGCCGCCGGAGGGTTGACAAAAGAACAAAGCAGCGAGTTTCGCAGCCTTGAACATGTGCTCTGCAAACATCTCGGCCGCCCTACCTCGCACCATTTGTCCGTCTTTGTCTACCTTATAGTCACTATGCTCTGACAGATAATGGTAAAAGTCACTTGATGGGTGCTGCAACTTGCGGTAAAGGAATGCTCCGTCAAGAATCATGATATGCGGGAATGTTCCCGCGGCCTTATAGTCTTCAACCCGACGGTGCATTCGAGCTCGGACGAGGGTGGCGACGCCGTCCCACATAGGGCCCACACAACCTCCATCCGGAGACTTCCAACACCTGCGGCCCCCGCCAATGTACATTCTCTCAATCGCGCCATCAGGCGAGCGCTTGACCGCATCGTCTATGATGCGTTCAGCTGCTTCTAAAATTAATCGGAGGGCTCCAGCGAGGAGCGTCGGATCTTCCTCCCGCTTCCCTTCTACGCGAACTCCAAGCAAATTAAACGTCGACTGGTCAGCAATATCATCAAAGTTCCAAAAGATGAATCGCACTGGAGTGTGTGCTCCCTTCACGTAATGCTGGCGCCCTGACCAATTGTGCGACTGGGCTGCTTCCCGAAGGTCGGGGCCCTTGCAGCCGCTCATATCGCTGGCAGAAATGCCATGGATGTGCTCTTGCATGAAGTATGGAATGGAATGGCTTGGCGTGGCTTTCTGCCCGGCCGCATTTCTGAACGAGATCGTAGAATCAGAAACGATATGAATAGTGCAAGACCAGAACTTGTGTTGCTTGTGTTGCATCAAGCATAAAGGGTGGAACAAGTCCGTAGTAGGTTTTCCAGTTGCAATCATGGCCGCAATTTCCTCGCCGAGAAATGGGGCCCATGAGTGCCCACTCTGGCGGGCAACCTGCGCCGTGGCCTGGCGCTTCTCTAGAAGCGACAAACTGCCCGTCCAGGCCTTCAATCGAGGATCTGTTATTTCAACATAAAGCTGAAGAGTCTCGGACACTCGAGTCTCCCACTCGTGCGCGGGCGGTTTCGGGTCCTTGGCGAACTCGCCCTTGTGCCAGCGGCAATACGTTCCAGGGGCCACGCGCAAGGCAGGGCGGGCCCTTCCCTTCGTCATCGACTGCCATCGGCCCCGCATCAGGGGGCCCACCTCCGCCACCGCCCCCAGGGGGGTCGCCAGAGGGCGGAGGGTTCCCTGTGGGAGAGCCACCCGAGCCAGACGGGGCACCTCCACCGTCGGCTGGGCCAGGGGGAGAGCCTCCGCCCGCCCCGCCCTCGGCTTGGCCGGGCGGGGCAGCCGGACTTGAGGCCGACCCGGCGGATGGTCAGCCGGTCGCCTGCCGACCATCTCCTGGATTGTCCAAGGGTTTCTGCGGTGCAGATCCAATCGATGGAAGCGACATCGCAACGTTCGCTTGGCTGCTGGCCGAGCCGACTGAGTCGGCCGGCAACTCCGCTCCCAAGCGTGGCCTTTTCGGCGCCTTGACCGGACCCTCCTCTTTGTCTCTGGAAGGCCCCTCTGACGGCGCCCCAAGATCAGGCTGCTCAAGATCTGCGGGCAAAAGTGGCCTGCCTCCAGCAACGACTGGGTCGTGCTGTTCGGCCTTGGTCTCAGTAGCTGGCGGAGAGCGTGGCTTTTCAGTCGAACCAACACTGTCTTCAAGGCCAGCACTCACGAGCCATTCCTTGAGGTCATAGGGACGCGACCATCAAGGAGCTGCCTTACGCCAGGCCGCAGCCTGCTCGGGAGAAGACTGGAAATAACTGGCTCTGGCTGAATCGGTAAGAGCCTCCTCAACAACATGCACAGGCATGTAGGGGCGGCCCTTAACAACAGGCAGGGCATACATAGTACCCCAACCGTCCCCAGCGGCTTGGCCGCGGGGCGGTGAGTGCGGTGAAGGGCCCCAAACGTGGGAGAGCCTTTCGTCTTGTTGTCCAACACTGGGACGCCCACAAAATCGCCGTGCATCGTCACCCGTTGGATGGCTGGGCCAACGGTGGGGCCCGCGACCTCTCCCTTCTCGAGGGTTCGGACAGAACGCCGAGTCTCCCCTGGCGCTTTCGTGTATAACCTGCAGACCAGCTTCGTCATTTCTTCAGGGCATGACTGAAAATAAATACCCTCAGGAGTCTGGTCAACCTTAGGAGGGGCACAGTCGAAACGGCACGTGGCCTTTCTGTCGAATGTCGCCCAGTGGGCGACCCACGGGCCTTGCGAGACACGAGAAAACAGACGGCTGTGAGCTGGCGGCTAACTATTCCTTCAATGCGGTAACAACTTGGTCGTTCCGCATATGCAAGATATGACGCCGCCACATCGTGCAACGCCAGCTCCATTTCCTTGCGCGCGAGCGAAGTGGCCCTTGCATGGCTAGGCCTGGACCATTCGGTCTTATCAGGGAAACAGCGAAAGACAGGTTGCTCCTCGCGGGGGCTATGTTTCCC